CACACTACTGCATGCGCGGGTGAAAAGACAAGCGGGTGTGAGTCTTTAAATATATATATAATTCTTACCAAGAGCGACCAATTGTACCTGATGCGAAACTCTGGCCGTGCATGGCCGTGCGTCCTGCAGTAATAGGACGTTCTTCCTAGGTATAGGACGTTTTTGGGCCGCCCCCGCCGTGAAACCGACGATGTCATTTTTTTGGGTCGAGGATGGTCGAGGTATGGAACTGTCACATCCCGGACGAGAAAACCACAGCGACAGGGAACTGCGAACGTCAGGGCCTTGTTCCGAAATCCTCCATGTGCAGCAAATCACTCCTTCACTCTGTGGCCAATCGGAGAAGAAACTCCACCCTGGGGTGGATTTTGCACTCATCCAAAGATGTGAACACCAGTTATACCTCAGACGAAAAAGGCAATCGTTTTTTCCCTTGGCCATGCTTGGCCGATCATGTTGAAACAGCCAAGGGTCGCCCCCCCAAAGAAGGTCGATCATGTTCGAGGTCGGTTTAGGCAGACTGACCGGCGAAAGGCACAGATCGCTGAGAGCGCTGAGATCAGCTTATGCAGTTCGAGAAATATCTGAAGTGCTGAGCCACATCAGGAACGCTTGCTACTTTCGAGGAAAGGCTTCTCCATCTGAACAAAGAGTGGTCCGAAATGGTTTGACAAATAATTGTAATAGTGAAGTGGTGCTTTTTCAGGGCAGACCTTTTTTTTCAGGTGTTCAACCACTTTGAAGCACTCCATTCCCATCCATTCCCTGTTTTCCATATCCTTTTACAGACAAGCTTTTATTGACAAGCCATATGTTTACCCAGGGTTGTTTTCTACAGCCACTTATCTGCTTTTGGCCATTCATTTGTGAAGAGTGAGACGACTCGTGCAACTAACACTACTCCAACTACTCCTACAGATGATTGAGTCCATCCGTTCTGCCGACCAAGAACTTGAGTAGAAAACCTGAAAGTTCCTGGCCCAAGAAACAGAGCTTTGCTTGAGGAGACATTTTCGGAGAAAAATGACCAAATTATACAGGTTCCATTCCAGCAGGATCAAACGACCTTTCCCACTCGGATGCTGAGGTTATGTCAGGTTTCTGCATATGCTTTTGTTAAGCTAAGTGGCTAAGAGAGCAACAGCTACTTTCACGTTTTCGGCCCCTTCATCAGCTTTCCACGGTGCCTTCATTCCGTGTCCGTTCCTTTCCTTTCCGCGGGCCACGGAGGAACCGTGACGACGGATGTGGAACCATGGTTGAACATGTGGACCACTGACCTGTAGGGGGGGGAGCAGGGTACATTGAATTTTTGTTGACCCCTTTTCAACCAGCTTAAGCTTCGCTCAATTTGATCCCAACTCTTTGCTTTCCAGAATCTGTCGAGCTGGATCAAGTAACGAAGAGGTGGCCTGCATCTAGGTCGGTGTCCATGGCCACCCTGTGAGCTTCAGTCGGAATTGTGACCCCATGAAGCGGTTCGAAGCTTCACAAGCACAGTGCAACAACCACGTCTCTGTCGTCAGATCATGACTGTAGCAGGATCCCTTGTTAGATCCTCATCTCGTGGAAGTCAGCTCTGCAACAACTGCTTTAGTCCGGGAAGCTTCTACACAGAAAAAACCTTCTTGATCCACCCCGGACTGAATCAAGCCAAGGCGGCCAAAGTACAAAGGCTGCCAAAGTACAAAGAGTTGGCAAACGTTACCACGGTACCACCCTTTGCACCGGAGACCTCATCCACTCCAAACCAGCAAGACGGAAAAGGCACACCCGCAAGATCACCTTCAGCGATCTCACAGAGACGATAGCACAAATTCCTAAGGTCCTTATTTATCAGTAGTCAGATCCACTCATCAGTCAGACTTGTTTGTTGGCCAATTATACTCTAGAAGTCACTCTCATTGATTGTCAACAACAACAACAACTTCTGCGGTTTGTTCTTCGCCCTCGTTGGCTGCATGGCTGCCGACAAGGCTTTCGGAGTTCGTACGAAACGTACGAGCGATCGTAAGAAGAGCGGGCGGAGTGAGTGACGCCTGAGCGACACAGAAATCCAACCAGATCACTGTGTCTCTATGAGATTGGAATTCATTTGAATTCTATCCTACGTAATGAGAAAGAATTAGCCCTTGCAGCTACTTGATTGTACTATCTTGTACTATTACTATGCAAGAACAGCCCGCAACTGGCACCTTTCCACCCCCGATCCTGGGCCGGAGGCTTCGCCGGATGTGCTGGCGGAGGAGTTCCATGGGCTACTGCCCGAGGAGGCAGAGTTCGAGGCCGCGCCGAACCCTTCGAGTTCGTTCGTGTTTGGGCGCATCTGGGTGGGAGGACGCTACGCGACATGCCCTTCGTGGTTGGTGCGGGAGCTGGCCCGAATTATGTGTAGTACGTTGGAAGGGCATACAAAGACCTGGCTGGTTTTCCAGTTTTGCAGGTTTTCCGGGTGCATGGTTGGTTTTTTGGGGTTCAAGAACGGCATCAGAGCTGCTTAGATGCATCACTGGGCTAGCGAGCCAGTGAACCATCATCAGGCCTTCAGGCCTTCTGAGTGGGCATACATCGCCGTGGGGAGCTGGACTATCACCTGTTGGTCGCTTGGAACCCAGAATGAACCCCGCCATAGACCCGACACCGGCCCCGACCTCGGCCCGTTTCCGCGCCGAGCGGCGCTACATCGCGGGGACGGCGGGTTTCGCGGTGCCAGGTGCGCCAGAACGCGGAGGAGGGCCGCTACATGGCGCCTCGGAGCGGACGGAAGGTCACCGAGACACTGTGCTGTGTCGTTTCCAAGCCAGACACTCCATGGGACTGCCGTGGTTTTAGGGGTGAATGTAGGTAAATTACGTGGAGTGTTTGGGCAAGTTGGGTATCACCACATCAATCCAAGTCGCCGGCCTCACCGATCTTCGGTCTCACTGGCCGCCGACGATCCCAACATCGTGCGATCTGGGGGGCATGGTGTTTTTCGTGTCTGGCGGCTTACCGGCACCGACGACCAACAGGTCACCAATTGAAACCTGTTAGTAAGGGCCCTTCCCAACCCTCCATTTCGGAGACCTGTTGCAAGGTACATCTTATTACAGTTCCCAGATCCCCCAGTCGTATTACCTAGACCTCACGGGCACGGCTCGGGAGACCCCCCTCTCGCGCCCGAGCAGTTCAGAGGGTTCACGTTCCGGGAGACTCGGGTCGTGTCGGTGTTTTTCGCAGGTTTGCTCCCAGGAGCTCGAGGAGAACGCGTGGTTCTTGTTGGAGTCTCCCATCGTTTGTTGGCCGCTCACGGAGCAAGAAGGCGGCACCCACCCGTCAACGGAAGGGGCGGGGGGCGGAGTCAGGAAACACGGGCCACTCGGTGACGGATGTTGCATTGTGAATCATTGTGATCCGAAGACATGTTTAAGACAACAAGAAAAAAAGAACATGTGATAATTATTATATATGTGTGTGATTGTGTATTTATAAAAATATGTTTAATACATGTTTAATGTAACATGTTTTGACATTAATATCATAATCAATATAAGCATGTGTTTAAGATATAATCGGAGGAGTCACTTCATACTGAGATGGCTCCGGGATGTAGGTCTCAGGATGTGTCTCTGGTAGGGCACAGCACGGTCTGTTTGGACTCAAGGCATTCCACCAAAGCGCTTGGCCCGACCTTCCTGATTGATGCTGTCGCGTCCAGGGGAGAAGCTTTCTGACCTTCCCTGCAGCTGGTGTGAGGCCTGTGCAGTTGGTGGTAGTGGTCCATTTGAGAAACGGGTCTTGTAAAGCTCTTAAGGATATTGTAAGCAATTCAGACAATGCTTGTAAGTCTAGATGTCCTGTGGAAGATGATCTCTTAGAAGATTCAGCAGTCGATGTTTCGCTTGGCAGTCTTTGGTTTATTGCTTATATCTTAGACTTTTGACGACCACATTGGTCCGGTTCCAACCGGCTTCTGTTTGCTCCCAACCAAAAGCAACTGGCTCCTTAGGATTCAGTCTGATTTCTTGAACAAGCGCCACTGAATAAAGCTTGCATTGGTTCATGGTTTGCAACTTTGCGAGATAGACAACGGATGACAATAGGACGCCAAAAAAAACAAAAAGGTTGATAATGACTGCTGCATACTGATGCATCTCTGAATCTCTATGGTGACACCACTGCGCATCTTCCACCGCATCTCCCCCTGCCCAGGCCTGCTTGCGCGCCTTGGCCACCGAGGAAGCTGAGCCAAGCGCCCCATCCAAGCCGAGGTCGGGGAAGCTTTGGGGATTGATAGATATATAGAGAATTATAGAGATTCATTTGCCAATCGTGGTGAAGAACAGAACAGGCCACTGAATGAAGAGATCCTGGATTGTTGAGATGCAAGGATGCAAGCAGTGGCGAGAAAGAGAACAAGAAGAACTACAGAGATTGGACTCCACAGTTTTTGGTGGACACACACACACACACACACCTGATTTCCCATTGCTGCTTCATGGTTTTCCAGCTCTTTAGAAGCAGTTCTTTTTCTGTGCAACCTGACCTTAAAAGGCCCATTGTTATGAAGGCTCACTAACCTGGGAATCGGATTCTGTGACGATGTGAGATGGGTGCCATTCAGCTGGACAATGCTGGTAACATGTCAAGATCTTGGGAGGTGCGGTGACTGGGAGTAGTCTTTCGGGCGCTTGGTTGGGGGAGGATGGGTCACACTTTCATTTGTCTTGCACCCGGTCAAAACTACAGTATATATATATATATAGATTGCACAACTGTTGAGTTTGTTTGATGTGCCTATCATGTTGCCCCCCCAATCTTTTGAAACTAGAGGGGCCAAGGTCGCTTTTTCATCACTGGAAAGGTTCTACTTGACCATCCATCTGGGCCAATGTCCTCAGATCCAAAAGGTTCCGGTGCAGTTCCCCATGTGGAGCTGCTTTCGGATGGAGCGGCCGGATCCGCCAGGTGGATGGTGATGCCGCCGAGGCCGGTGATGCGCGGTGTCTGGGTTTTGGGAGGCAACAGGAGTCTGTATTTGGCCTAACACAGTAGGCAGTGTATAGGATCTGTATTTGGCAACCACTGTACCTCAAAGGGTATAGGATTCTGATTCTTCATCGAATCCACCTCAGGTGGGCAACTGCAAGGCTTGTTTGATGTTGTTGCGAAGTGTGATCCTCGGGCCCCGCCGAGTAGTACTGTGCTGTCGCGTTTCGCGCGCGAGAAACCGCCGCGTGACACGTGCGACCTCGAAACCGCGACGTGCGACCGAGACACGTGCGGCTTCCAGGCTTTGCGAGAGCTGTGTGGGCTTGAAGGACATGCTTGCCAAGGACGCTGGGCACGGCACCGGTCCGTGGATCCTTTTGGGACGCTCTGATTGGAGAAGACATCAGAAGATGTAACTTGTTTGAACAATTTGGGGTGCCACAAAATCTGCAACCAGAAGAATGCTTGCTGTGCTATTCTTGCGACCTTTACATTGTAACATACGATGTGCACAGGAAAAGTGCACCGTATATCACCATATGCTGTCAAATGACTTTACCAATGGCCTATGAGATGTTGGACTTGATGAGCGACGTGTCCAAGTGTCGTTCCTGCGACCAAGGGATTCAAGGACAGATCATTTGGGTTGCCATGTTGGCTGAAAAGATGCTGACAGACAACAACCGAACACATCATAGCCGTACATCACCGGTAGAGTCATTTCACTGCCCGCTGCCAAATGTGATTCCCTCATCCCGCTCCATCAATGAACATGTTTGCATCTCCTAGCCCACCATACCTCAACGAACTGCGGTCTCCCCCGCCTCGCACTCGCAGCAAAACCCTCAACAGACTACCGCGTCGTATGACGAGACGGCAGCGGAGTTTGAGCGACGGCAGCGGAGGAGGAGTTGCTCCGGTGGCGCCAGTGGCAGCAGCTTCGTTCGCCCAAGAGTTGCATCGGATTGGAGGCCTTTGGCCGCTGCTTGGCGCAGGCAGGAGGATTGTGGAAGGGTGCAAAAAGGGAATCACGCAATCCTAATTTAGTTCTTGATGACTTTTATGGTACAAGGTTTGAGTTAAAGTAATTACCAATCATATGGGAGGTAGCTGGGGAGTTGAGATCTATGATCTGATTTGGCAGTTCAACGTGCAGTCACACAATGGAACCAGAATCCCAGTGTCCTGAGTCCTAAGATTATTTTTCTGCACATGTGAGCTGGATTCATATGGTGTCCTTTCATGCTCGTGCATTAAATTCTGATCTCAATATGTCAACAAAGAGGTAATTAGTACTCTGTGTCGATAGCGTGTCCACGGAATCTCATGCAAGCAGAATTTGAAGATTCTCTTTGCGCATGCTGCTTCTGTGTTTGACAGGTAGCGCTATTGGCTGGTAAAGCCAAAGAGGCTGCAGCTCTCGACGGTGAAACTGTCTTGTGACGGGAGTTTTAAGAGCAAGGCGGCCTCTTGTTGTTGGGGATTGAAATACCCTATAGGGCTCCAAGTACCTCCTCAGATTGGTATTTGGACCCTCCAAACCCACCCCAGTCCCACCGAACCTCGGTACGACCGGAGCCCGACTGGGATAGAATCAAGAGTCTACATTCGACCCCATGTGCAGGCTCCCGTGTGTCACATGTTAAGGATTTGACGCTGATGTCTTTCATCTTTCTGCCACCATGTTTCATCCAACCGACAGGTGAAGGGATTCCGCAGGTTTTTGGGACATCCATGCGTGAGGTGACCTACCTTTTTAGACATTTGCCAGTGGAACGAGTTGGAATGCCCAATACTTGAAGCCTGTAGGATCGGAGTCAGAGCCCAAGACTGCCCAAGACTTGGACAAAGGTTGCTTCTTTAATGTCGATGCATTCATGGGGAACTGCTGGAGTGTGGTTCTCAGTTCGCAAATCAGTCGGGAACAGTGGATTAGGTATGAGCTGAGCAAGTAGAAAATTGTTGGGCAGTGTGATTGATTTGGTCTTGTGCTTGTTGAAGATCCTGAAGCAGCAAAGGATGGTGGGGATCTGCCGGAAATGTATGAAAGCTGCACATCCTGCACCTTCTTGCTGCCCCATCAAGCCTATGCCCAAAAGTTTCATGATTCATGATTCAGCATTGTTTCACTTGATTCCCTTCCCTTCATCGAAACACTTCTGACCTTGGACCCGGTTTTTCACGTCACCCGATAAGATCACGATGATCCCGGGCCGAACGCATCGCCAAAGTGCATTCACCTCGCGTTTGCGCTGGCAGAGCCGGCAGAGCCACAGAGGCGGGCCTCAACGATGATGAGGCGCTCCACTATGCCTTGAGGCCTTTTGAAAGGCCCTCAAGATCCGAGTCTGGTGGTCCTTGCCGGAATACCATATACACGACTTCAGGATCTTCATTCGACACCCAGACAGGATGGTCAGGTAGTGAGCCTTATCTCGTTTGGAAGGACGAAGCCAAACCAACGATGCGAAATGGTGTTGTTCTTGAGGGTAGGGTAGGGTAGGGTAGGGTAGGGGTACTAATTTTTCTTGGGAGACTCCAGAAAGTTTCAAAACATTCTGGAATCCAAAACAAGAGCACAATTTTGACGATGTTGCACTGCCGAAGAAGATCCCTTTACATGTGTACTCAACGGAGGTTTAAAGAAGACTGATATCATGATACAAAGCCATTGAGCTATCGTCAACGATACAGGTGGTATATATCAGGTCGGTGTTGTTTTCAAGCTTCACTTCGACGGATCGCCGCAAACTTCGCTTCCTCGGCCAAGCGCAGGAAATGTGGCCAAAGACCAACCTTCCCTTCACCGCGACGCAAATTTCTGTGGGAGACAAACCTGGATCTTCCAGCTATACGCGTTTGCTTGTTCATCCTAAAGATCAGCCAGAAGGCAGACATTTTGCATAGCAAAGTTGGAAGTTCCAGGTATATGAAACATTGTGAAACAACGCAAAAAAGCAGGAAAAAAGCAGAACCCCCCACCAAACCCCCAGACGCGACTTGTTTGGGACTGCCGTATTTGCTAATAATTGTGCTGGTTTTGAGGGGTCAATCATGTAGTTGATTTTGTACTCCAGTCCCAATGATGCCATCCCAACGTATAGAGTCATATACTTCAGTCCATGTAGTATTTGTTTAGGCCTGACTGATTCGACGTGACGAGTCTCACTCCGGAATCTCCATAGATTAGACTCGTCTCATGGCCTATAGCTATATAAGGGACCTCTTCCAGTCCTACCTCAGTGTGCATCTCAGTGTGACCTTGGTGTGCACCGTTGGGCGCCGGCGCCAGGCTTCAAGGACCTCCCGGAGATGCCACGGTTGAGTCCCTCCGATGTTGGTGGCGGCGGAGCGAGGGTTGGGAGCGGCGGCATGGAGGGTTCGGCTGAAAAACGTTTGGATTCGTCAGATGCGATAGATTTATGTTAGGATTCTCATTCTCAAGATGAATAGCATTGAATAACTATATATATATATATATATTGATGATAATTGTGTTTTTGGAAGCCAGGTTCAACTTGACGCCCTTTGGTGCATAGTTCGGCAGAACTGGGGGCTCGTGTTGTTTTTAAGATGCGTTTTTGAATGTTTTTGGATGTGGTTTTTGTAGCTGCAGACACTGGACGTTTAGCGCTGAACCCTGTACCTGGTACAGTGGACTCTTGGCCTCCACAGTGGACTCTTCCACTGCGCTTGGACCAGCGCTGGAAGAGCTCCATTGGCCTCAAATGAATGGAACAAGATAGATAGATAGATAGATTTATAGATAGATAGATTTATAGATAGATAGATAGAGAAAGAAAGACAGAAAGATAGATAGATAGATAGAAAGTATGATCGATGAATTAGGATCATTGATTGCATGCTGTTCTGGTCAGTTCTTGATAAATTGATGAACTCCGCTGATTGTGCTGTCAGAACCAGGCATGCAGTCCGTGAGCAGTCAAAGTTGTATACCCAAAGTCACATAAAGAAGTTATTCCGAGTTCAGGGATTCATTAGGCAACCTCTTGCAGTCTACTATTTGATCGAACCGGGAATCGCTGGTATAAGACTGTTTGTTCCTTCCTCTTGATAGTTGTCTTCCTTCCTTCCCTCCCTCTGCATGTATAACTCTTCGGCAGTTGCCAGGATCCCAGGATCCTGTATACGCGAGTATAGGCTGACTGTTTGTTCGCCTTGTTCGCCGATATGTTCTCCGTTCGAGCAAATGGGAATGTCCGTGAGTTCGTAAGTTCCACCCAATGAGACATTTTGCCCTTCGAACTTGCTCCTTCTATGTCCATGATGTTTGTCGCGGAAGAATAAGAAAGAGTCCTGAAACATCCTGAAACTGATTTGATGTCATTTACACTTCCAAGACCTCCTTCTACCATGGCTGTCCTGTGTAGCCCTTTCTATGCTTAAGACCAACCCATCAAAAGCATTCAGGTCACCTCTTGGACAGAAGGGGCTTCGTCGAGATGTCGAGACGCCTGAGGCTGCATGGCACGACGCACGGGAGCTCAGTGGACCGTTCTTCGATCCAGTTCACCCGGTGTGCAAGGCAAAATCCGGACACGACGACATGTGTGTTCTTCCCATTGCAACTGACCCCAAATGCGATGTAATCAATAACTCTGGCCGCCAAATGCGCCGGGCCCGGCGTCTTGGACCCTGTGAGCGCCACGGCCAGCCGTGGCCTTTGCTTTTGTAGTATATATGGTTCAGTATCTTCCTTAGTAGCCAAAATATGCCAAAATGCTTTGCCTAAGCCAACACAAGCGGCTTTTGAGCATTTTGGCTCTTAACAGAACAAGGCTACTAGTGTGCCCAACAGTGTCTTAACCAAGAGCTTGTCGGAAACAAACCCGGTGGCTGGTTGAGTCGGTTGAGTATGTAAAGAACAAACAAAAAGAACTTCAAGAACCCAGCCAGGGGCTTGTAATGATTCATGTAAAGAACCTAGCTAGGCGCTTAGACAACGGCGCTGTGTGACCACGTGATTCATCTACGAACAAACACATGGACCGGCCCTCCAGTCCCTGGACGATCCCCAGGGTGTTTCATGTGGTTTCATGTGGTTTCAGAGTAATTCATGATAGATGACCCTGACACATGAGGGCCCCCCCCCAGATGCTTTTAGACCGATGGTTTCATGGTATGCATGGTCTATCTAAACCACCCCACCGCGGCCCGCCGAGGCCCAAAGAGGTGGCGGAGGCCCTGCGATCCTCCGAGCCCTTCGCAGACAGGCGACCTTGAACCAAGCGAATGTGCCCCAAGATGTGGCTTTGTTATAAGGTTTTTTTGGGGGGAGGGGGGGAAAGAGATCTCTTGATTTTGGGTCCACACTTGGCAATCTTCTTTTTTTTTTTTAAACTTTTGTGTGTGTGTGTGTTGCTTTAGAGTCCAAGAACTTGGCAATTTGAGATGATTTCATGCAATTAGTGTGTGTGTGTGTGTTGTTTTAAAGAGTCCAAGATCGACTTTTTGCCTGTGGAACTGGAGGCTTCGCGCGAGGCTGCCGCAGGCGGATGCCTTACTTTCAGAGGAGACAGCCGCAGGCGGCTACTGTATTGGCCTGGACAGCGTACAGCAAACTTATTACAGTGTCATACTAACTCTATTTCAAGACTCAAAGGTAACTATAAAGGAGTAACACAATTGAACATGCTGGAACAGCTGCTGTTCACATGGGTCCAAGAAACAACTACTTGAATCCTTTTGAATCCTTTTGAATCGTTTAGCTTTACCTTGCTACCTACCTCACGGACGTGACGGATCCTTGTGGCTCAATGGACACAGTCTCATGCCACCGGCCAGCGCTTCGCTCGCTTCCCTCAAGATCCAGGTCCCCGGAGGTCGCCAAAGTGCCCTCTCCCCGGAGGTCGCCAGCGTGACGAAAGCATGACATGGTGACAGGTCAGGATCTGATCCCACAAAAGACCGTCAAGAAAGAAAAACACCTCCAGTTTCATGGCTCAACTAATTACCAATATATGCATCACGGATTGCCACATGAAAGGTGGGTTTAGGGTTTATCCCTTTCTGTATGGTTCGCTTCGAAAACAAATCGGGGCGTTGAACCGGTTGCGACTGACAGACATTTTGACTGAACAGTTCCAAAGACCTATGGGTGTCAAACCAGTACCAGCACAATCTTTCCTTTGCTTCCTCGCTTGCTGCCCGTTTTTTTTTGTTTTCCAAACGCCGCTCCACGATGCAATGCCGGGCGGTGCCACTGTTGAGGTGGGAAGAATAGTCATCCATGGGGGGGTGGCCATGCGATCCAAAGAAAAGAATTGAGGCAAGAATTGAATAATTTTTTGTTATAGGTTTGATACCTTACCTAGTTAATATTAGTTGATTAGTTGTTAGTTGTTAGTATAGGATGATGAGATAGTTCGTGGTTACCGGCTGGGCGGCATGACCTATCAGGTCACAACATGTCAAAACCAAGTCGTCCTAAAGGGATGTTGAAATCGTCATCGCCCTTGAAGATCTTGAAGTATACTACAGTCGACAGTTAGTCAATAAGGGGTCTGACGTTTGTTCACCCCTTCTTAATTCAGAAGCAAACAATAATAAATGCTGCAACACACTTAAAACATCTTAAAACTCAAAGCTAAAAACATAAACAAAAACAAATCAACCATCAACACAGACCACTCAAAGCTGCGTTTCTTGGAATTCTCTCATACATGAACCCCCGGTCTCTTGCTCTTGCTCTTCGTCTCGGACCCCGAACCGTCCCCGTCCTTCTAGGCCTTACCACCGGTGGCCACCTCGGCGGATCAGACCTTTTGGTCGCGACCTGAGGGCGGTGGGACAGCGCTGGACATGGGACATCGACATCAGATGAGAAGGAGAAAGGATGTTGGGTTTTCCCCCCCCACCTTCAAATTGGACCCCAGGTGAGACTGTTGACGGGTATATGGCGGGGGGAAACAAGGAATTAGCTGGAACAAGTATTTGTTCAGCAAAACATGGAGCAATATAGATCTGGACATGTTCAGAATTGCCAAGTGACAAAGAAGAAGAAGAAGAAGAAACATCGAGCAAGCAGCTTTATTCGAACGCGAGGTGCGTTCAAAACACACCAAGAGACAAAGGACTGAGCAGTGTCTAGGCTAAAACGTCTGGCAATGCAGTCAACTGTGCACACCGGCGGGGGGTATGGTCTTTCACACGGACCATTATACATTAATTATGTTTTTGGGAGGGAAGGTTGCATAGTCTTCTATATTGTATAAATGTGTGTCTTCTTGGAAATCCACATAAATCACAAATCCACCATTGAAACCAGCTATTTCTCATTGTTTGACCTACTTGGGAACATGCAGTCGGCTGTTTTACTTCAGGGCGCGCGCCCCGAGTCGAAAGGTCGCCAGTCATCACCAGGTCGGCCGCCAATGATTCCTCCTTCCATGGACGCATGGGGATCAAGAGCTTGGTGAACGTGAACAACACGGCGGAGCTCCTTGGCACGGATCCGGGATGGAGAGGCGGGTCCGGAGGAGAGGGCGGAGAGGGCGGAGAGGGCGGAGGCGGAGGGGCGATGTTTGAAATCCGTTGGTTTTGACGTTCAGATGTTCGTTTTGTTGCCACGTTGGTTCTGTGGCTGTCACTATAGTGACTGTCACTAGGTGTTTGTTTTGTTCTTTGTTCCTAGGTATAGTGGCTAGCCTTGCTATTTGCATCTATTTGCTATTGGTTCGTTGAACTCTTTGCTGTTGAAGAGACCGGCCAAGTTCACTGTGGTTTTGGCTGTCCCTACAGGTCAACAGGCTGCATTTGAGAGTTGATCATACGAGAACACTACCCAAATGAGGTGTTCAGGACCAGGTTGGGGTGCAGTAAGAGGTTGGACCTTCCAGCCCTTTCCCGCTGTCAACCAGACAGATGGTCCAGTCGTGGATCTTCGGCCGTGTGGTGGGACCATGTGGGACCCCGGCGTTGGCCGGGGGTGGATCGGTGAAGGAGGCGCGGACCAGGCGTGGAGAGCTCTCAAGTCTTGCTGGGACTTCAGTCTGTACACTCCTGGAAATCCTCATGGCTCATGGTGGAAGTGGAAAATGGCGCCGAGTCCGGATGAGAATGAAATCCGAAGACCTTCTGTAGGTGAACTCCATGTTCATGATGACTTCAGGGAGTGTAAGCTAGGGCCTGGGTGGGCCTCTTTGTTCTATCTTGTCCGTTGGGGAAGCTTGAGGACGTGGGTGCGATTTCTATCACCCTCGGGCTGTTTGCTGTTTGCAGTGATGCCCACCCAGACCATTATGTCATAAACAGGATCAATAGACAACACTTGATTTGGGCACTATAGGCCTTTGGTTGGCACAAATTGAACCCCTTTTTTTACCATGTGTAACTCTTTGATTCTTCAGGCTCAAGGTTCAATGGACTCATGAAGCAACGCCACTGCCCTCGTCGCCTAAATGCTGCGTTGCTTCTGCGTTTGCCCTCGCCTTCTGAGGCTTTTGCATTTGGCCTACCTCCAATCCAGGACGATCGGTCGGCGCATGGCGCATGTTCGAACAGGAAGAGGCGGAAGAGGCCTGTTCACAGGCGCGTTAAGCTAGCTAGCTATATATATATATTTATATGAATCTGTCGAATCTGTCCACTGAGTACCTGCTATATATATAGCTTCTGAAAGGATCCTCTTTGATCCTCTTTGTATTCTACTGAGCCATTTGGCTTCGAGCCTCCCGCCCGTCACCGTGAGAGCTGCAGCGCGAAGTTTGCCCACATGCGGCTGCTGGTGCTGGCGCTGCTGGCATGGCCTTGCCTGGGCAGAGGAGGAAAAGGAGGCAAAGGAGGCAAGAGAGAGGCGCACACCTGGTGATGATGTCTTGGCTGTTTCCAGTAAAATCTTCTACCCTTCAACCCCTCTTTTGGTCGTGACATCTTGGGTAGGAAAGGCTGAAGAAAGACATAATTGCTTTACTTGTTACTTATTGAAGAAAGAAGCTGGCTGTTCACTTCGCTGCCGTTCTTGAATACCCGCTCAAACAGTGGACTGAGTGTTTGACCTCCCATCAGGGTCAGGATTCTCGCCGATGGTTTGTTTCTCAGCCAAAACAGCGTTGGGACTTATTGACTGTTAATTTCTACATGGGAGTAGAGTGCTCCAAACCCCTGGTGTTATGGAGGCCGTACTCACGTCTTCGTTTTCCGTAGGCGGTGAGCTATCGCTTTGCCCAGCTGACGGATGTGCACATCGAGCCGTTCTATAATCCAGAGACCCTCGTCGTCCGAAGACCGACCGAGCCGATCGGTTGAGCCATTCTGCTGGTGTTTGGCTTAGTCAATCCATCTGGAAGGGTCTTTGCATCTCCTTCCCCCCAAGCTCGATGGAGTCATAGCCAGAAGGCAGAAAGTCAATCACCTGTTGGGGTGAGGTTCAGGAACTAAACTTCTTTGCCTTGGAGACTATACTTAAAAGGACATCCAAACTGGAATACTGATGTCTTCATAGGATTTCTCATGATCTCATACTCACTTGAGCGCCGAGTCCCCCATGTGAGCTCTATGTACGTGCTAGTAGCATTCTGCAACACACACTGCCCTTGCGCTGGGAGCCCAGTGGTTTCAAGGAGTCGCAGTGATCAAACTGAACTCACCACACGTTCAACGCGCGGCGCCGCGGAAGCTTCCTGCGCCTCCTCTGAGGAATGGCCATTTGAAGGGTGATGTGTGCCGAGTTGCTGAGGCTTTCAACAAGTCAACTTGCCACTCAGTGGCAAAACTCGAGGGAGATGAGGTGGGGGGGTGTGGATGAAAGGATGGAAGAGGAAGAGCTCCAGGAAACGGATGAAACGGCCTACCCTGAGAGTCCAGTCATGACTCATGAACTCCCCCGAACTGGTAGTGGTGGATTGTGACCACCAGGTGGAGTACAATGATATATTATATATAAGTCCTGTAATAGAAACATACAGTAATGCGCTTAAATGCAGTTCGGTTGGAAGTTCTGGGCTATATATACTGCATGTTTGTATCGCCCAGACTGTATTATATGAATTGTTCGGTTGGGCGATGATGATGATGATGATGATGATGATGATGATGATGATGATGATGACGATGATGATGATGATGATGATGATGTTGGGCAGTAGAGAGTGGATGTGTCTCAAACGGGGTAAAAAGAAGTCTTCGGATTGAAGGAGTCTCAAAAGGATCCCAAAAAGACGACAGGGTCTTTTTTTCCTGAAACAAACTAGTGGAGAAATGGATGCGTGTGCTTCTTCACTGACTCTATATACCATATGGCTCTATAGGTCATGGCAGTGGGGGAAGCTGGGTGGACCACGGAACATGAACAGACAACAGACTGGGTCGGTGAACATATCAGGGTGAGTGAGTGAAAGGGGCTCCAGGTTTTCATGGCGATACAGTATACCATGGGTCACAAATCCACAGATGTTCGAGTCACTCCGTGGCCTCGTTCCGTGTCCCACCGACCCTACGGCCCACCGTGTAGACACCCACTCTTCGGATTTCTTCGGTGTCCTGGACGCGGACGTGAAGGAGGAAGAACACCTCCTTGGAACGAAGACCGCTGTCCTATCCAACCCCCCCGCCGTGGTGGTTCAGAAGCTGCTGTCCGTTCACCACGGCCTCCATCCCCGCCCCCAACCCTCTCCGTCGCAATGCCTCCATCCATCCACCCAACGAGGTATTCCATTTCAGGTGGAGCCTGAAGCATCTTCCTACCCTTTGGGTCGCTTGAATTGCGACCCTCCGGTGGCACTCCTACGCTCGATCATGGAGCACATGGCACGGATCACCGAGGACCGGGGTGTGGGGTTCGCACATGGGCCCGGGGTCTGTTTTCCGTGAGGACGATCCACGGGGTTTTTCATCTAGTAGGTAGACGGTAGAATGGTGTTCTGTTCTTTTTTTAAAGATGAGGACTCTATCTACAAAAATGTTTCTATGTCAATTTTTTTGGCCAACCCAACTGTGCAAAAGACCAACCTGACAATTCAACCAGCGGCTCAATGAGTATCTTCCTGTAGCCAAAAAGTTTGTTGAATGTTGATAGTTTGGAATTACAAGTATTCACACATTTGGATTCAGAGGCCTCTTGACACAGTGCAGCTGGTTCTGCTTCATCTTGTGCCCATTCACATTGCCAGGAAGGCGGCAAGCCGGAATTCGTGCTCTTCACAGGCACCAAACCTCACCGTCACCGGAGGAAGCGTCGGAAACGCCCACCGCCAACGCCACAGGTACTTGGGATTTCGTTTGTGGCACAGTATGTGTGGAATATATGGCACAGACATACTGACAATAATATATTTTGTGTAGACAGACTGGCACAATGATGTTTAAACTTAAGCGAAATTGAGACCACCCTATACTATGGTCAGCAGTGCGCTTCAACACACCTCGATCAAACACCAAAAATTGGACAGGAATAGAGACCTTCAGAATGTGGTGGTCTTTTTGTGCATCAAGATGTTGACCAAGAACGCCTGCTTCAAACCTGTTTCATCCTGTGTCCTGAACAAAGGATCGCACCGAAAACAACTCCCACGACCTGGCGGCCACCCCCGTGAGCCCTCATCCACCACCCCTTGAGCCCGGTTCCGGCCGTGTGTGACTTCGAACGAGACCGACCAAGACCAAGCCGCAGGTGATATCCCGAGCCACCAGCTGTCATGCCAGTTCCACCAAGCGAGGACGATCGAGATGGTCACTGGGCGTTTTGGGAGAGTTCTCCCAAAAACTGGAAGCTTTCCGTTTTTTCGGACAGAGTTCTTCCTTTTGAGTCCTCGACATGTCATTGACTTCAGACTTGACGAGTTGAGGCGAAATTGCTTCGATGTTCAGGGCAAAACGTCGTGCGCATCATGGAATACCAAGAGAGGTTTCTGTAAGTCTATAGGGTTCTGAACCAACCTCTCTTGGTAATCTCACACGGGTTGGTACTCTTTGTTGGTTGATTCTGCGAGAGGGATTCATTCCAGGAATTTGCGCATCCTTGAATTCGGTTTTCGCTCTGTTTGTCCAACCAATGCTCACTGACTTACACTGAATCGACTTAATGAATTCAATAAATGAATGGAACCAATTGACTGTTGTTGTCCTTGAATTCTGTCTTCGCTCTAGGTTCTTGTTGATTTCAGAGGAGACTCTTTTTGAATGATCACAACATATCACAACCTTTGACCATCAGTGCTCCAATTGACACCCAACATCTTCGTGTGGAGATGAGGATGCTGGTTGGATGAATTGACCGAGATGTCGTGCCTTTTTTCACTGGACTTTCAGGTGAGATCTAGGATCTCCCTCAACCTGCCAGCCCGCCCGCTGCGCGGTCGCGGAACCTCCGTGGAACGTTCACGTTCTTCGCGGCTGAGGTGATCACCATGTTGGCCAAAGGAATCAAGTCGGTCGCGCCCAAGCTCTACCCGGCCATGGGGAACAATGACCCTCGGCAGCACGGTTGGACGGCACGTTCAGCAGGATCTTCACGGGGACGGTTTTGGGGTGTACTGAAAGTGGGAGGCCTTCTTTGGCAGTTGGTGAAGCGTGTTGAACCATTGGACATTGGGTGTTCACACGTTCGAACCAGAGGACATACTACGTTTGATTGTGAGGACAGTTCTTTGACCTGAATCAAATCTGGTTCACAGCTTAAGGCATCTTCAAGGCACTCCGAGTGGAGACAGGCCCTGACTACATCATCTACTGTATATACTTCCACATTGCACATGTTCTTTTATGTTCTGTATTTATTCTTTTGAGCTTGACAGGCCCGTGATCCGTATCCAAGCCACTGCTAGGTAGATTTTTGGTATCCGTCCTGCAGGGTTTAGGACCCCATGCGGGTTGTGCGTGCGAAAGGGCGTCCTCTCAAAAAGCCACATTCTTGAACAAAGTATGATCCTGATATCGATGTTCTCCATTATAGATCAATCGACAATCATCTCCACCATGATATTAGAGGCTTTTTACATACCAGGATAGTCAAATTGTGACAAATGGTTGCCTGTTTGTAAAGATAACAGCCAAAAAGCAGAACTTTGGAATAGTTGGAAGATCCAGGAGTACACCCAAGAGTATGGGTGTCCGTACCTACATCTCTTCCGCATCGCCAAGAGTCAAGAGTCTTGCCGCACTTGCCTCATCTCTCGGTGGCTGTTCCAAAAGGGGACTACCGCCGGTTTTGCCGGAACAAGGGTCACTGACCTACCTCTCCAGATGTCCAGCTACCTCCAGGACTATTTCCCCAACTACAACATCTCTTTGGAGCCCAATAGCCCCTGGCAGCAGTTCGTGGCCTCTGTCTACGCCCGCGAAGGAGTCACTCGGATGTCAGCCAAGGAAGGTCAGGGTGGTTGGACAGGCAGCCAAGCAGTCTCGAGTGGTTGGGTTTATGTTGGTGTATGTTCATTTGCTCGTACTAGTAGTGGGCATTACATCGCACTTCTTCAGCCATTTCCAAGACGATCTGGCTTCTTCAAGAGCAGGCATGAGCAGGGTCCAAGCTCTTCAGCCAGAAAATCATGGAAGCCGCCAATTTTACTCAGTTTGGTCTGTCGACACTGACAGCACTTCATGGTCCTATCCCAATTTCTGAGATCTTGTTTCAGCCAAAACAGAAATGAATCCTTCATTTGATTCATGGGCTCCAATGGCTCCAATGAAATATCCCTTTTGGAGTTTCCGTTTGAACCTCAGAACCTCTGGTCGAACAGAACCCGGTGTCGCACCGCAAAACGCGGTGTTGGCTGCCTTGGCGTGGGCGGTTTCGGCAGACTTGGTGTCTTAGATGGTGGTCCGTCCGGTCCGTCGACGGGGTCGTAGATTGGGATGGAACTGATGAAGCGAGGGACCGTTGGGGTCTGACATCCACATGTTGGGTCTGACATCCGGGGACGAAAGCAGGTGACATGATCGAAAAAAAAGGAAAAATACGAATCAGGGTAGAATCTGGTACACGCATATATATATATATATATAATGACTAGATTTACTGTCTTAAGTTTATAACTTGTTGTTTAAACACAATGACCAGCCGTACCTTCAAGTTGCCATGTTGTACCGGGAAAGGTGAGATGCTCGATGCTCGTCCATGGATTGTTTTCAGGTGGATGGTTCCTTCGGTGCAAGAAGTCTGGACTCCCTGGTCCTCCTTTTTTCCTTAGTGTTTGCTCACTTGGCAGTCCATCCGGACTCTTTTCGAAAATTTGACACACGGTGTGCAGAGAGGGAGCAGCTGTAGAGTTTCAGGATTCCCACATAATGCAGAGACAGCACTAATGACACCAATGCTTACATTCCCTGCGCGAAGCAGAAGACAGAGGCAGAAAAGAAAGAGACAATCTAACTCAATCCTCCATGAAAAAGAACGACATTTTGGGCACATGGTTGCAGCCTGTGATGTAGTATGCGCTCGGAAGAACTTGTGGCATCCAATGCATTCGGTTGTTTGTATAGCTTTCGAAGCATCTTCTATAGGGCGTGTGGCGTGGCAGGGCTGCGGAAGGGGACTTGTGATACCACTGTTTAAAATTTTAATGGTCTTTGCCAAAGAGCCAGTGTTTTTTCTTTGAAGGTTAGGGGCACGACGTGGGAGCATCTAGCATCTAGCAGGTGGCTACGGCCAGAAACATAAGGCTTGGATCACACACCCAAACTCACACACGATCCATACCTCGATCCATAGGGTATGGATCAAAAGGTGGGTGTGTGATCCAAGGGCTTGGATCACATAACTACTAGTGCCACCACCGCCACAACAACAACAACAACAACAACAGCTACTACTACCTCTGCTGCTACTACTGTTGTTGCTGCCACCGCTCCTACACTGACAGTTGCTACCACTACTGCTACTACTACTACTACAGTTGCTGCTACTGCTGCTGCTGCTACTCACTACCATCACTACTATTACCACCGCCTCAGATTTAGCGGAAGCCACTAGATTCAACTTCAAACTCAAAATTGAAAAAGGGTTGACTTCCCATTCTGGCAAAGGTTTATCGGAATCCGCTAAGTGTGGTCACAGCCGGGACTCGAACCCTAACACTGTGGCTTTAACCATTAAGCTATAGAAGCCTCTGAGTGGAGGAGCCAACCCAACTATACCATATTAAAGAAGGTGCCAGAAGACAAGATAGTGGAAGGCCAAACAGATAGCAGCCACTAACCAGCGTTCGGAGTGGATGACTTGTAGACTTTGGGCTTCTTGCATCGTCTTCTTGAACCAAAACAAGGGCTGGAGAAATGAGATTAGTGGACCCCGAAAACTTTAATCCACAAGGCTTGCTCCAACAGAGCCTAGCCCAAAAGTGAACCAGCGCCCATTGCGACCCACTCTACCCAACCATGGCCCAATATGTGGACAGTGGAGCCTAATGAATTTAGCGGCGGCCAGTACCTCAAAACAGGCTTACCACAAACAGGATGGCTTTGATCGTGGAAGCCGCCACCTTCACAGTGAACTGGTGAGAAAGTGGTGGGGTGGAGCGCCACCATGCAGATGTGTTTATATCGGGGGCTTGGATCAAGTGACTTGTCGGTTTGATCAATAGGGCTTGGATCAGCGCTCTGATCCATAGGGTTTGGATCACTCTCGCTGCAGCGCGGAACGATCCATAGCAGGGTTTCTGGCCACACCCAGGTTGCAAAAGCTGTGCAGATGGACGCAGCGTCTGGGAGCCCTTTTGCAACCCGGGGCTTTATAAAGAGGCCTTAGAAGCTTTGCTTGGGAAGATTCGTTCGTGAGCTCAAGAGGACCCACCTGCCTCCGCAACACGTGGCCAACTACCAAGTTGACAGCTCGATGTCTGAGTTGGCTTTGAACCACCACAAACAGAGTGGACCAAGCTCTCCCTTGTTGAGATCTTCGCATTACGTGCAATGCTGCGCCTCAAACTCGTGAATCCAAGGAAGCCAATGTGGAAAACCAACAAGAGGAGTAACGAAACACCAAAACAAAGCCGGGTTAGACTCAGACACCTTTATTTTGGTCTAAGGTGCTGGAAGGCGAGGCGTTGAAGACCTTCGCCCGAGGCGGCTATTACACGGCGACACCAAGACCTGGACTGAGACTGCTGGTGTTGAACACGGTGGTCTGGAGCCAGAAAGTCTTGGATTGGGACGCTGCACCGAAACGCCCCCCCGGCATGTTCAGAAGATTGGTCGGATACGATACCATGGTTGTCGTCTGTGTCACGTCAAAACATTCGGAACTTGTTATCATCATCGTTGACGTTCATCTTAGGGTCTTCAAAGGCCGTGGAACCAAAATGTCGGCCTTGACGATCCGGATGCCCTAAACGGCCCTAAACCCTAAACCCACAAATAGGGTACGAATCGGGCCATTCAGTTCCATTTCATTATGGTGACGCTGAAGGCTTATATTCGATCGAATATTTATAGGTTGTTTTATGTTGTTTTTTTTGTTGAACATGGATGTGAAGCCATGGTCTGTGTGTGGTTTTGATTTTGGCGTGTGACGGGTTGAGCGAAGCCAGTGTAACCAGCGTCGACACCGACCAAATCCCAGTTCGCCACCCTCAACAGCCAAACTTAAACATGTCAAAATGGACCAAACATGCAATTCTTTGTAGAACCCAATTGAGTTGGACTTGGAAAACCTGTCTGCAAAACGCGCGCCCTCAGGTCATGTCCAGCACCATCGCACCATCGCCAATGAACACCTCTACAAAGGGGCGGATGCTCCGTTGCCGGGTGCCGATACCAGCGGCTGGACCTGGGACGAAGATGTGGTCGACAAGAAAGTCTTCGCCACTGGGATCGGGGGTGGAAGGAGGAAAGGGTCGAAGTGGACACTGCCCGGGGAGGGGACAGGGGACAAAAAAAAATCACTTATAACTTATAGACTATAGAGTTCACGGCCGGGTCGAGGTTATCTTTAGACTTGAGGACCTGAGAGGAAACCTGGGTACCTGAAGGGTACAGTATCCAGGGAAGGCCAAAAAATATCTGCAAATTTGGAGGATCGGATTTGTTGGGAAGTTGCAGCAGTCATAGTCATAGTCATAAACCAAGGACCCTTAATTAGGCCCTGAACGGTGGTGAACTTCGAGAATGCTAGGTAAAGTCAGACAGTGACGGTAGTCTTTACCGGTGGAAAAACACATGGTTTGCATCCATGATTTCGAGTATACAGGCAAACTTGATCAAACGAAGGCGGTGGATGAGACACCTTCGACCATCCCCGTTCCGGCGATCCGCGAGGCGGTCGCTGGATCCCTTTGGCAATGCTCCACCTTGATTTAGGTGTGTCTTAATGACTGGAAAGTCTGTCAAAACAGAGTTCTAGACGTATCAGAACTCTCCCACTCTCCCCAAGTCACTACACTAAACACACTGTGAAGGACCAGACACCTATACCACCACCTCTCCACCCCCTACCTACCATCCGACCTCCTACCTCCTACCTTCGGCACCGACCCTGGCTCGCCTGGCAGGTGAGCTGCGACGACCGTCCGGCCGACCCCTATGGCCAGCTGGCCTGGGCCCGGGCGCAGCTGGCGGAGGCCTCGCGCGCCGGCGAGCGGGTCATCGTCGCCGGGCACGTGCCGCCCGGAGACAAGGCGAGGGATCGGTGGCACCCCCCACGGTGGTGGCAGGACGTTGCAGGAACGGTTCTTTTGCATCATTGTTTGCATCGATTGGAGCGAATACTGCTAGCTCTCAAACGTGGCAAAACTTCTTCGGACTGGGACATTCGGGGCCTTAAAAGAACGAACTACCTGGTGTGATCATCACAAAAGGGGCCTTCAGAATGGCCTTCCAAATGACATGCCAACTACCGGAGTGGAGTTGGAATGGCGTTACAACAGTTGCACCGCCCCTGGCGCAGGTGGGGAGCAACAACTTCTGTCCTCAACACTTGGCGGAGCCTGAGTCCGACTGCCGCGGGGTGCGTCGGGTGAAACGCTGCTACGTGGTTCGAGAACCACGGTTCGGAACCCTCCAGCAATGTGATAGATGGATCCGTTCTGGGTGGAAAAGATAAACATGAATAAAAAGCCTTTGTCGACATATGCTTTCAACAGCGTTGTTTGAGAGTTTTGGGGTGCAAGGCATGGCATGTGGGGATTTTGGCCATGGCAAGCTGTTTGACATGCACCAGCTGAAAGAGTTGATCAGACCAGAGGCATCGCCACTGCGGATCATCGGGGGATCATCCAAAAGCATCCGTCATCGCAATTTCCACGGCGACAATTGTCTGCGCTGAAAACAGCATATAGCGCCTACAGTCTCAAGGGTTCCAAAAGGGTGAGTATAATTCTGGAGGACGATCATGAAACGGATCCAGATCGTTAACACTTCCTCATCAGTTTCATGAGGTTTCATGCAAAACTCTGAATGCGTTGGGATTTGACTTGACCTTCCAAAACTGGTAGGTCTCTATAGTTTCCCATGAATTTGGAGACCCTTCAGAGGTTCCTATTACAACCAGAGACTCAACTTGTTTCTCGATCTTCATTCTTCGGAGTGGCCAAGAAGAAGATTGATCAACGCACCAAGTAATTATGTCAGAAAAAACGCTTTGGCCGTCCCCACGCTGTCCAGAACCCATCACTCTCACAGAACCCAGACCGATCTTCGCCAAGGATCTGGTGAACTTGACGCGCGACTTCGCAGAGATCATCGAAGTGCAGCTCTATGGCGCCTCCGGCGTCCGTCCGTCCGTTCACGAACGGCGGGTCCACGGAGAACGGGGGGGCCCCGAGAGGTTCGGGCCTCCGTGTTTTTTCTTTGTTTTAGAATCGGATTTGAAAGCGGAGTGGAAATGGCCTGGCTGTGTTTTTGGAAGCTGATGGAGTGGAAGTTCAGGGACATAAAGAGTCACAAAATCTGTTTGACTGCCTGGTTTCGTATCAGCAGGAGCGAGGAAAATACTTGGTCCTTTATGTAGCCAGCAAAAGGAATGACTCCGAATGACTGTTTTGGGGGGGCCGGTTAATCTTCAATGTTCTCGCTACTATAGGTCCGAAGTACTGCCAGTACGCTCTTTAAAGTTGTATCGGTTCATCGTCACTCTCCTCACTAATCTCATGAAATGGTGTTGACGACAAAAAAAATACCTATTGTGGGTGATCCTCAATGAAAAATACAGCAAATGTATTGCAAAAGTGTATTTTGTTTGTTTAGTAATTAAGTAAACAGCATGTAACAGCGTTATGGATTTTGCAGTTTACATATCTTTACAGAGTGAGGTGGTTATCAAGATCATTAAGGTATATTAAGGTGCAACGTAGTTTTATCATCAATATTAAAAGATCCTAAATTGATTGAATCCTTGTTTAACTAACACCATTTCGTCCCCCTTTCTCGTTTAAGGCGACCATTCCAACGATGAGTTCCGCATGGTCTGGAGCGAAACCGGCCACCGTACGCGTGCGGCCGCGGTGTCCTCAGTGCTGGTGAGTGCCGGGGTGACGCCTCGCAAGCACTGCAACCCCTCGTGGCGGCTCTTTGAGGCCGCGGGGTCCCGGGTCGTGCCGTGGTTCCCGCGCTGCGGGTCGTGCCTTGGTCATGGGGAAGGAGTGAAGTGGAATGGAATGGGAGAATCGAAAATCGACGGTCAATAAAGGATGTAGGTCAAAGGATGTACTGTAATTGTTTGTGGGATTTATATGCATATATATATATATTTATATAAGTTCCCTTGTTCCACTTTTTTTGCTGGGGTTGAGCAGAGAGGGCCGATTCTACAAGGATTGCAAGAGCCAAACATGTTGATGGAATATGGTTTGGGATGTAAAGACTTCGACATCGCTGAACAATGAAGGCAGACTGCGAGTTGGTGGTCAATTTTTCCTATCATACTCTAAATCTACTCCAATGCCTTATTGAAACGTTCCCTTTCAAAAAAGAGAACAATTCAGCACTTCCAGTAATGTTCCCTCGCATCAGTGACTCTTCTCCCAGCTGAGAACTCCAAACACGGACCTGATGCGTCCGGTCACTCCAGGTCCAGGTCCGCTCACTCCATCAGGTCCGCTCAGTCCATTCGTCGCACGCACGCGGGGACGTCACAGGTCTCGAAGGATCATGAAGTCTCGGACTTCACTCAGTTCTACCTCCCCTTGGCCGAGCCTGGGCGGTGTTTGGGTCGGTCTGTTTGGTCTGTTTCGTTGGTGATTTTGGGGGGGTGTTTCTTAAAGCGTCAGCTTTTGGAAAGGGATCTATGCTGCTTCAACCTGTTGCAGAGGTCACAAGATAGATTCCTTTGCCTGTCACACACGCGGTCAATCATAGGATTGCTTGTATGGGTGAAGCCATTTGTTTGCTTGGAAACCAACCCGAATAGTGAAGGCATTCGATTGCAACAGCAAGATGAGGACACAGACATCCGCCTGAAGATGGATAAGATGCCTGGCGGCAGTGCGTGACGCATGGTGCCTGGCGTGTCACGCTGTTGAGTGTCAAGGGACCTTGGTGGGGTTGCTTGGGACGTAGTACTATGATGCACTATGTTACTGTGTTGACTGCTATCGTTAGAGGTGGTGCTCCCAGGTGTGTTTCAGTTCATCCTTGCCGCGTAGTACCCCTCAACTGGACAGCTTAGACACACCCGCGGAGCGACTGGGTCGCACGGGCTCGGTGCGCGGAGACAGCGGCTCCGCACCAGCGGGAGCACGTCCGCGTCGAGTCTCGGGATCTCAGGAAGTGGGAGAAACTACATGCGAAAGGCAAAGATGAAGCCGTTTCATGGAAGTTTTGGCGCAAGCCGCTGGACTTGAAACCAGTTGATTAGTCGGTGTTCATGATGTAGAAAAAAAAAGGATCATAAAGAAGGTGTGCGTTTGGGTTTGTTAGTGGAGGACAAATTCTTTGCAGAGAGTTTGTGCTTTTGCCATAGATGGTACTGGTAACATTAATGTGTTCAGTTGCCTGTGGTGTGGTTTTTGATCTACCTACTGGTCATGAAAGTGTCATGGAGACCCCAGAACACAGTTGTAGTTTGAACAGTGAATTCTTAAGTCTGTCAAACAGTGTTCAGAGCTTAACGTCAAGGTCCCAAGGTCACAAGGACACATTGATGCAAAGAGAAGGACCCAAACACCATCACATGTATTTATCAAATAAGACATTGAACAATAGCTTCGGTGGGTCCTTCTCAAGGTGAAATGCATTCGAACCGGCGCTTTTGCTCTCTTCTGCGGCCTAGGCAATACTCCTTCCATGAGCAATACGGTGTTGGTCTTGACCCTGATGAGCTTGAATATCTATGGTTTCGGCTGCAGATTCTCGGTGCCTGCATATGTGTAGTAAAAGACCTTCCGTTGATGATTTCAATGGCTTCAACGGATTGGATGCAGACCAATTCTGAAGACAAGTTCCTAAACGCACAAGCAAGGGGTGCAGTAGAACATCAAATGGATGAGCCCATGCATTGGCTCTCCAACCCTCAATGCACTGGGCACAAGTGGAGCTCCTGAAAGGCCACGCACCAGGAATGCCCACAGGGGTGTTTTCAGCCGCTGGGAAAAGGGTTCATGGTCTCAGGTAAGTATACTGTGTGTATACTGACTGTATACTGACATCTTACTCGGTAGGATGATCGTAGGATGTCCTTTTGGATGTCCTTTTGTCTTCAACAGGGATGTCCCACCCTGTCGCTTCACCAACTGAGCCAAGACCTGTCACCCGAATCGAGGTCCCGAGCCGTCGAGCGAGCCAGCGCGCGAGCGCGAGCGCGAAGCGACTTCGCGAAGCGACTTCGTCGTTCCGAAGGATCAATTTGAAGGTTCTCAGAAATATATATATATATATATAGTAGTTGTTTGTTTCCATTGTTTTTTTTTGGGTATATATTCCATTGGTATTTCTTGGGTCCAGCTTGAATTCCATGTGTTTGTTTCTTCTCAATTTAGGTCCCACCCAACGGGCCACCCAACTTCCATTGTGCTGCAGACCGCTGACTGCTGACTGCTGCGCCTGAGACCGCAGGCCTCTGTGCCGCAGACCGCTGACCGCTGACCGAGGAAGAATCCCAAATTGCTTCGAACGTATTTGGGTCATATGTTCTCTCAGACCGTGGGCTCCAACGACTACTTCGACTACATTTGTGATATGAGATATCTCAGTGCCGAGGACAACGAGCTTTGTTCCGACCCTTGGATGCTGAAAAAAGAAAGTGACCAGATGCGTGTTAGTTTGGCCTTGGTGGTGAAGTTCTCTCAGAGTCTGTGGTTTTCACCAAAGAATGAATCTGTGTTCTGATATGTGTTGATTTTTTTCCATCTAAGCTTATTTGTACCCATGAGCCGCATGATAAAGATGCAGTGGAGTGCAGGTTTGGGTTCATGGGATGGAAGGTTTGGAATGATGGAAGAAAAGGGAGTGGAGGAGAAAGAACCAAACCTTCCATCCCATGACCAAACCTCTATCATCATTTCATAAGTCAAAGGACACTTCCAATCGATCTCGCCCCATCCCATCCGCTCTCGTCCCCACGGTCAATCCATCCACTAAGGCCAAAAAAAAACATCCTCCTCTCAGGTCCCATCATTCCCATCATTCCCATCCTCCCTCCCTCCTCCAATACCCGGTCCCCTCTCCCATCAGTCCCCATACCGCTCTCATCGCCCAGGCCAAGGGCGCGCTCCTGGAGGCCTCCGAGATGGAGCCGCCCGACATCCCCGCCGCCGAGGCCATCGACGCCGTGAACCTTGCGGCGACGGCGGATGCGGCGCCGGCGGATGCGGCGCCGGTGGATGGGGCGCTGGTGGCGGCGTTGGTGGCCTCCGGTGGAGTGAACTTGATGCTGGTGACTGGGGCGAGTTCTCAGGAATTTGTGGGTTTGGGGTTTGTCTGTGTGGGGATGGGTGGGGTGTGTGTGGCGTGGGGATTTGGAGATTTTGGATGGAGAGAGTGGGAAGATGGAGTGGGGATCAATGGAAAACTTTTTTTGTAGTATCTGGCCATTTTGCTCCAAGTTGGGCAGACCAATTTTTTGGTCCTAACCTTTCACAGTCCACTTCCGGCCGATGGGCCAGTGGGCCTTCCTATCGAGGTGATGCTTCTGTTGCGAAGGAGTTCAGACAGTTCACGTGCCGGAAATTACATGGCGATGCCATGAGCACGCGTCTTGAGACGAGTCTGGGTTCCTCCGAGACGAGTCTGGGTGAGGATGAGCCATAGAGAAGATTTGTGAGTCCAGATGAAATGAGGTCAGCATATATAGTTACGTAATATAGGTCCCAAATGGTGGACGCCAGGGGAACTTCCTTCACGGACCTGAAGTGTCGGAAGATGTTCCCCCCCTGACCTTCGGGTTTGACCTTATGAGCGCCGCCCAAAGCGTGGCGGATGAAGACGAGACGAGCGCAGATGCGCAGATGAAAGAGTGGGGATGTGCGGGGTGGGGGGTGGCTTGAAGTGTCAGCTGTGGAGGTGAATCCACAGGATCATCTCAACCATCACGATCACACAGTAAAAAAGCTTTGACTGACAATATTACAATAATACAAAAATCATCACAGTATATGAAGTCAAATGAATGGGGATATATAGCCAAATGCCGACAATCGAGTCTACGTATTCAAAGGGAACCTCATTCAACAAATATAGCTGGACTAGACGCTGCTGGATGTCAGAAACTTGTCAACACCTTAATCGACTTGGCAGTCAAGAGCCAATGATGCACTATGATGCACTGCAACTTGATTAAGACCTCAAGTAGTTAGTTAAGGCTCCACCACTCCTCCAGTGGCCCCTCTATAGCACTCCCGAGACGCTGCAGGAAGATGCGGAAGATCACCAGCGTGGCAGCGGTGCGCTCGGCGGAAGCCCAGGGAGTCGTGCAGTACTTGCAGGAGCCGCGGGTATGGAACGATATGGAACGGTGGACACAGATGGAGGATGGGGCAAGGTCGGGCAGGAGCTGAGCTTTTGATTTCTGGGGTGGTAAGAGGTAGAAGTCTCCCTTCCACCACAGGGCCTTCTGACAAGTGGATTTTGAATTTAAGGGTGTGCAAGATCGCACCTCTCGGAGGCAAAAGAGGCCAGAAATCCTAGCTTATCGAGAGGATTGTTGCCACACGCTAGTGATGGAATCGCTGATGACTTGGAATCGCTGACATCGCATTGAGCTGCAGAATCAGGCTGAACACCCCTGTTCTTGGCTGGGTTCCTCATTCACATTGAGCCATCCGTGTCGATGGGGCAGTCCAACAAAAAAACAAAGCATGCGACAAGCAGCACTGTTCATCTCTCTTTTTTGCCAGGTCTTTGAAATGAGTCACCAAATGGTTCTCACGTTTCGATCCAACACTTGTTACCCCATCCGTTCCACCAGGAGGTCACCAACCCAGGCCCCGGGAGCAAACCCGGTGGCGCCCTGTTGCCGCTTGGGCGGAGCAAATCCGGTGGATGGTGCAGCTGGATGGGGAGATCAGTGGATGGTGGAGCCACCAGGTGGTTGGAAGTGGTCGGTTCGTTGGAAGATGTGGTCGCCTATACTATTAAATTAGTAGGCTTTGCCGAACCAACTAAGGATTTTACACTACAAATCCAGTTCAGTTCAACCACTTTTTTGGATGGTCTCGGAAGTCTAGGGTATATGGCGCCATGTCCTGATATGTCTAAGCTATGTCGAAGCTCTACATTGCGAAGCCATGCTTCTGGCATGTTTGTACCGATTCAGTCCCTGTCCTTCTTTATCAGACTCTTCTAGTTTGAATTTGGTGGTTTGGACTCTGCAATGCAGAATCCAGGTCTCTTTGCAGGTGACAAGTCTTTGCCACATCCCTTGCCCACGGACTGTCAAAGCACCACCTCCTTGGCTCATGACAAGGTCGACAGTCGCACCCGTCTCCCGCCACGTCTCAGGTCCAAGGTCTCCAGCATCGGCGGCTCCTCGTCCGTCAACGGCGGGACGAACGGAGCGGGGTCCAAACGGGTTCTGTCTGAGAGCGTGACCGGCGAGGCCGACGACGAGTGAACTCCAATTGGATAGATTGGGGATTGGGGTGTTTGTTTTGAAGCAATGTTGGTATGGATGGGGTATGGCAACATTATGTCAGGTGAGATGGACACAAGAGTTCTTGACAATCTTGAAACATAGAGGGCTGTCCACATCGAAAGAGAGCATCCAACTGGAATCTGGGACTCATTGTGTCAGTCACTTAGAAATTGGCTGTCATCCTTGGTTTGTGGGCTGTACTTCCGGGGAAGTGGCAACAAGTTCCCAGTTCTTCTGGGCTCATGAGATGATCCAAATGGTGTGCTTCTGCAAGACTCCCTGGAATTTGTAACAAATACCTTTGGTTGATCCCCTTCTGAATGCAGTACCCCGACCTCCGCACATATTGCATGGAACCCTTCCTTACATATGAGTTATATGTACCTGCCCACAACAGGAACCTGCCTAAGAAGTCACCCGTCCTTGAAGTGCTACACCCACCCGAACATCTTCGTAGAACAGCAAAATGCCTCTCACCTGTTGCTATCCTTGTGCACATCCGTACATATCCTGTTTCATTGTTTATCCGTTCAACATACTATCCCGTTTACATGACCTTATATATATATATATCCTTATATAAACCTTTGAACTGACCATATAGTCTCTATATCCTTACTTCTTTACCCTATATGTGCTGCCTTGGAATCACCGGGATCGTCGTCGAAGGATCCGTCTCAGCCTCGGGATCCCCAAGGACAGGAGAAGGATCCGTTGCCGTGGCAGATCGACACAGGCGAAATCGGGCAGATCGAATGGATTTGGGGTTTGGCAACTCAACTCTCTCGTTTTCTTTGGGAGGTGTATATTCAATAAACAGTATTACGCAGTGATTTCGTTTCAAAGAGATGCAAAGGATTTGTTTGTCGTTCCCAACAATGGAAGCAACCGTTTGTTTGTTGATTGTTCCTTCAAGATGCGACGTCCGACACCGAATCGGCTCCGTTGCCAGGCTTCGGCTTCCTGAAAGATGCGCCGGACGACCAGATGGGCGACCTCATGGGCGGCGGCATGGCCTTGGCCAAGGCGCAGAGGGGCGTTCTGAAATGGGGATATGGTTGGATGATGGGTCCAGCGCAGGGCTGCCAGGGCTAGGGCAGGGAAGAGTTGGGAGAGCTATCTTCAAAAACCATCAGGGCTATCTTGAAAATCTGTGGCAGGGAATGGTTGTTGAGATGTCTTGGACCTGTGGGCGATCTGTGTGACGCTGATGGCCTGGACGAGACCTAGACGAGACTCAAACTCGGAGGGTCGCTGGCTTCAAACGAAGCCGAGTTCCCGCCGACAGAAGCGAAGCCCTCATTGGGGGGGGAATTTTGGAACTTTGAAGCCTGGGGCGAAGATGGGTGGGTTTGTAACAACAAGGGTCTACCAAAGGCCACGATTAGGTGGATTTAGGTGGTGGTATTAGGATGTATTAGGTGTTGATCTACTTCACTTGCTCTTCTTCAAGACAGTTTTGCCTGGTACACCAGGTAAACGTTTTTGGACATGAGATGACATGAGTGCCTTAAGACTTAGGAAGTGCCCTGACTCCATAGTAAGACCATCAACCATGTTTCAACCTACAAGCTCAGTTGTCCCTTCATGTTGAAATCCTATCGTTTCTCCACTGAGTCCCGCTGGCCGGAATTGCGCTAGTCCAGGGCTTGATGAGCAAGAAGAAGGGAGGTAAACGAAGCTCAGGACTCTTTGGGAGCGCCGTTAAATTTGCTCCGACTCAGCAGTTGATGGTTGGCTGATGTTGTCACCCAAATGTTGCTTTGTACCACCCATTAGTTGTTTTGTTTACGAGTTCTCCACCTGAAGCCAAAAAGGGGTGCATGTATCATCATATTATCTAGTGTGTCCGTGTGTCCTACCTGAAGCTGCAAAGACTCTTAGGCAGTATATCAATAAGCCTAAAGCAAGTCAGGCTTTGGGTGCGTGGTGCTTGTTCCCTATTGCTTCCCAACCAAATGACAGATCTTCAACTGGGTGAAGAAAGGCATAGGGGCCATTGGTTCTTGATGGTTCTTGCTTATTTGTTCCCCTTGATTCACCCAGCTGAGCTGGTATATATATATATATATAAGTTATGTTCCTTTATCGTTTTTGTTCTCCAAGTTCTTCGTCTCTTCACGCACTCCTTCGTCCCTTCGTCTTCGTTCGACCACCCGACCACCTCGCCCACCTCGTCTTCGTTCGACCACGCGTCGTTGGCGTCCAGGACTTTTGTCCGCGATGACTGGCGGTGGCGGACCGTCACAGGCGGAAG